TGAGGGATATATGCATCCGTAACGTTGGGTATAACCGGTGATTTCATTTTGATTTAAGGATATATGAGTACAGATAATGCTCCGACATTTAAAGTGGCTATTATTTGGTTTAAATCACATTAGGAACCCGATCACTCACTAAGATGGAAGTTCATGTGGCGCCCACTTTTGCATTTTTTCTAAAATTCATTTGTAACTAGTATGAATGGAACCGTTATAGACTTTAGGATTCTGGTTATATTTCTACCATTTTACTTCACTGAGATTGAAGAGGCCAGACTGAATGAAATTTGAGAAGTGAATCATACTTTTACCGTTCAACAGTGACAATTTTCTCCAGTTAAAATGTTAAGATGATCACATAAAAGTCAAGCCTTCAAGTAATCTTTATAACAACAGTATAGGAAAGCTCAACTATACTGAAAGTCTAATTCTTTGGGGGATTCATTAGTACTCAGACTATGTTATTACCTACTTCTATCAGTATGAGTTTCTTTTGATCGATTATTTATATGAGGTCAACTTTCATCGTATTCAAGAAATTTTCACTTGAGTTCAGAAGTTATTCAAAATGTACTCACTTTAATGAAGAACACGTTAAATTTGAAGTCTGTGCACCTTAAATTTTCACTTTTTCAAGATACGGTTAAGCAAAATTGTATTTTCCCCTAGAAGAATGGGACCGCATTAGACTAGACCATTCCTATTTCTAATAGGAACACCATGGATCTGCTTCTCATGTGTGTGATAGTTAACGGTGTCTAAATTCTAAAATGACAGGTTAGCATTAAAGATGAAATCTAATGAGAATGTTCATTATGGACTGACATCAGTTGGAGGAACACTGGACCGCTGTTTCGTTCCACTAGTATGGGACTCCTCAGCAGCGCAAACCCATGACCCCACCGGGAATCGAACCTGCAAGCTTCAGATTCAATGGCCAGCACGTTAACATTGAGCTAACCACTGGGTCAAAATCTAATGGTCTACATTTCCAACTTCTATCAGTTCACGACATAGCGTGACAGCCACCAAATGTCGTAAACTGACAGAAGTTAAAAATATGGACCATTAGATTGCGATCCAGTGGCTCAATGGTGACGTGCTGGCCATGGAACCTGAAGGTCACTGGTTCGATCCCTGTCAGGGTGAGGTCATGGACACTTACTGCTAAGGAGTCCCGTATTAGTTGGACGAAACAGTTTCCCAGTGCTCCAAGGTTTCCAATGTTCCTGCAACTGATGTCAGTCCATGATAAATACCCAAACTAAATTAAGAAGTATATTTAGGTGTCTTGATTTCATTGACATTTAAAGGTGATTCAGGCGGTCTTAAAGTGAAAAAATGCGCATACCACAGATTACGAAAAAAAGCTGTATGATTAAGGTCATCCTTGTAGATAACAAAGAGTACATGCTTCACTCAACATAGATGAAAGTAATACTTAAACGACCAAAACAAATCCCTCTGACATTACGTGGGGGAACATTCGAAAGCTGGGAGCACTTGACAGCTGTTTTGCCCTAGTACGAGACTCCTCAGCGGGGATCAAAACCAGAACCTTCCCACTCGACTGCCACCACGTTACTATTGATTCACTGAGTCAGAATTTCACGGTCCATATTTCTTACTTCTGTCAGTTCACTGTATAGCGTGACCTCGATTCAGTGCCGTCATTGACTAACGGTACACATGTTTTATTTGGTTGGCTTCACTGATCATGACTTCTCATCGGAACTTCGTGAATTGCCTCTCGAAGCTAGTCACCAATGAGGACTAGATTAGTTCAGTTTTGAGGTTTTTGTGGGGATTTATTGATCTCGGGTTGGTCCAGGACTCGATCTCTGGCGGAGTCATAGGTGCGCGCTGCTGAAAAGTACCACACTAGGACGAAAAAGGCATCCATGATGAATATCAATCTGAAATCAATAAATCTCAGAATTGAAATCCCATTGATGTGATTATTTTACGTATATGTATGTAGACACACATCCAAGGACAAGGTAATTTTGACTTGCAGTTGAAGATAAACGAACTTGAGTGATCGATCAGGTGCAAGTGATAAATATGTCTTGTTTCAGTGAGCATTCAACTTCACCTGTAGTCAAAGAAATATTCTAGAATCCTACCGTAAAGGTAACGTTAGAACGGTCATTAGTGTATAGCATAACATTGATCTAATCGAGGGCGAGTGCCCGGATATTTCAAAGCTCTAGCCACCAACTAATTTTACCCTCTTTCCTCTTATGTCCTGGAAAAAAACTTATGCTTAACTTTAAACCATTATGGATAGTGATGATTACAGTTTTCATACCGTATGATAAGATTAAGATTTCTGGACTTCATTTTACCCTTGTTATTCTTTTAACTCGTATATTTCCTAGTGACAGAATAATCAATCTTTTCACTACACTGTCTATATTTATCAGGGATGAAAACCGTTTTAAACAACAAACCTATCGTTTATTGGTTTAGTTAACTGTTAACTTTTTGACCATAAACTAAATTTTATTGCGTGCCCAATAGCGACTCTACCATCAAAGTTTGTATTAATTTTAACCAAACATGTTTTATTAAGATGATCTTCATTTACGACTGAAGAGCCCCTAGAAAGACAAAGCCCATATCAAGCTACTGTTCACCGTTATTATCAGGATAAAATTTCCGTATATGCCGAATTAGCTCTATAGAGGCCCATGTACCAACAGTGACCGATCTGATGGGTCCAAATTAATCGACAACGGGGAATTAAGCTTTGTAGGTTAAAACATCCTCTTGATCCAACAAGACAGAATAATTTAGTTTATCAAATCCATTGTGACGTTTGCGAGGTCATATTAGTCGATCAGGGTTAATTATGCTGTCTAAGCACAAAAGTCTAACTAAACCAAAACTGGTAGATCCTAGTAAGGTAAGGAATTTAGAAAAATGCTTGGCCATAGCTATACATGTAATTTCACACAATAGATTAGGATAAGGTGCAAATCCTTAGAACTACCATCGTAGAGTGAAGAAAGAGATTGATAACTGAGTCTTTGTTTATTCAATCCAAATGCGCACATATGAATCACTCAACACCTGTTTCAGGCATGCGGAAAATCCTACTACCCGTTTCACAAAAGGGGCGAGAAAATTAGGACTATATAAAAAATGTTTCAAAGTTCTGGAGTTATCTTGATATCACTATGGATAGTAAATTCTGTATGAAACGTAATCGAGTAAGTAATGCTATTCCATTGTGTGATACATCAAATAACTCAATTGAAATGGATATTGGACACCATGCATTATTTTGTTATGAAACTCATCAGCAATGATCATGATTGGAAACAAGATAGCATTATCCACAGATAGTCACTGACTCAGCGACTCAATATTTCTATTCACATAAAGACGTCTAAAAGCTTAGGACTCTACACTCCTCTTGGGTGAAGGAAATACTTACTCTCCTACTGAAATGTTTAAACTTGCTTTCCAGTACTTGGTGTCAATCATAGAAGTATCGAAAAGCAGTATAAATAACTTGACAACTCATCAACATTCACTACAAGGTAGGGTAATTTGGGTAAAAATAAAAGTTATTGGATATGACAGATAGCATATCAAAGTTTGAAGTATTCTGTCTGACTTGAATAGCCTATATTTACTCTACCAATGGCTGTTTATCAAAGATGTACATGTTAGAGTATTGAATGTTCAATACTCTTATGTTGAATGGAGCATAAAATAAAGAAATATTCCATATTAAATTTGTTTATTTGATTTATAACACACAGTGATCTAGTATTATTTACTTGATGACGTTTTGAGCATAAATTATTGCTCACACTACTTTCGACATTTGATTTTATAGTTAGGTCACCTTGTATAAGTTGTTTTTATTGGTAGCAAAATTTTCCATATCTCTGATACAAATGGGTGTCGCATCATTTCCATTACATGTGTTGCGTGTTGATTCGATGACCCAAGACCTAGTATTCAGCCTCTCCCTCTCTCCACCTAATTATATTGGACTTAAGTACAGTGGCTTTATCCTACACGATTCCATTGTGTGGTAGTGTGTTAGTGCATGCATAGCAATAGCTGACTACCTTTTTTCTGGATTACTGATCTTATTTAGGTCCGTTATTCTATATTTAGCTAAATTCCTATGTTCGACTATTCTAACTGACCCTATACTTGACTTTAATCACAGTCATTACATAGAATTTGATAGATTAGATTATTTTGCTTAATTGGTTCTATCGGATCCTAATGTCAGCCGACAAAGTTTATCTCTGAGTGAGTTTGTAGGTTTCAGAATGCCACACCAATTCCAGCTCTGTTGAGGATTCTATGTAAAGTTTCTGAGGTATCCTCCTTATATGGCAATACAATGGAGGCTGTGAACTCCTCTCTACTCTTGTTGTCGTTATTAGTCGCACTCGTGTGACTGTTATTGTTTTCGTTTTTTGTGTGTCCGTAAGAATTTATTGATAAACTGGGGAGGGTAATTATTAACCATTAGCACTTCTTTCACGTGTTTCAATTCCTTGTTTAGGTTGTTGCACTGACTAGTCAGTTTTCTAGCTGTATGATTTAGACATTTGACTAATCGTGCCTTAATTGACTGACATTGGATGGGATGATTTGAAGTCTAGATACCTGTTGGAATGTGTCGGTGTTCTGTAGACGGTAGTATGCAAACCATCGTCTGTCTTTCGTTTTGTTCAGCAATCCAATATAGGTAATTCACCTTGTTCCTTTTCCACCTTCTCGTAAGTCAATTGAACTGAGCTTACTAGTGAGTTTATATGTGTGAGGAAATTGTCGATATGATATGATATGATTATGACCAGTGATAATTTATGCTTGGGACGTCGTCATCCAGTAAATAATGCTATATCGCCGTGTGTTATAAATCAAATAAATAAATCTAATATGGAATTAAATTATACCACAATGTCCAAGTTTTACACCTATATTAATAAAGAAATATTCACAAATTTATCATAACTTACTTTTAAATGTATTTAAGTAGTAGTAGTAGTAGTTGTTGTTGTTGTTGGTGGTGGTGGTACAATTCAACATTCCATCTGAACAATGAGATAATGTATGATTATATTTATGCATTTTAATATCAATGATACTACTATTCATACTATCCGTAGATATAGTAGTATATGTTGTAGTGGATGTAATATTTTTATCAATCAACTTTTGTAGCATTGCATAAGGAAAACTGAATAATAAACCAATGAAAATGATTAGACCACAAACAAATGAAGCTATACCAATTCCACCATTTGATCTACATTTTAATGGCCAAAATAAACAATTCACTCGATCTATACTGAATGCAACTAGTAGACAACCAGAATTGAATACAAACCAACAACCAGTTAATTCCATTAATCGACATGTTGTTAATGAATAAGTATCTAATTTAATCATTAATTGTCCATTTGTTAAATAGTATAATCCACGTCCAAGAAAATCATCTAAAAATGTATTCGATATAAGGACAAGACTATCAGAGATAGCTATTATCATTACATAAATTGAAAATCGATTCCATGGTTTATGTGTTAAAAATAAATAAAATGCTGACATATTACCAAATACACCAAAGATAACAAGAATTGGACTGATATAACCTCGAAGAAATCCAACTGCATGTTCCATATTTTTCACATGTATTGAACATTGTTCAATAGAGAATTTATTTTCATCTGATCTAAGCGTATTCATATAACTTGATGACATTTTTTCTATGAATGCGTATAATGTTCAAAGTATGTGTAGACATCAAGTTCACTGATGTTCGCCGTCTTATTGCAACTGCTTCAAGTGTGTAGCTTAATATATATGTATGAAGAAGTCAGCTGTCATCTTTACCCATAACCAAAGGAAGTCACCATCAAAGCAAACTGTTGGACAAACCTGGTTGGTCAATATAGAAATCACAAAGTGTGTATGTGTCTGTTTATCTATCACTACGGCTATTTCTGTGTCTGTTATTTGACATAACTACTGTCTGTCTAGCTGATGGTTGCATAGACAACGTTACAGACATGTGAATTTGATGTGAATAAACAATTTAGGGGTTTATGACTGATATTAGCTGTAGAAATTGAGAGCACTGGACAGCATAGACCAAAGTCAGGACCTTCAGGTCTCGAGAAGAAAGCGTTACACATTTAGCCACTGGGTCTCAGTTCGGTAGTCTACACTTTTCTACTCCTGTCAATTTATAATATGGTACGACTATCCTCCCAGGTCTTCTGTTAGCCTACGCTTCATTCCCGATCGTCAAACCGCGTAAGTCACAGTTTCCCGTTGAGGGGGTCTGTAGGTGCGGATGACAATGAAGCTCCGTTCTAGGACAAAACAGCGGTTCTCCAAAAGAGTTTTATGGATTCCTTGGAGGTGGAGGCTTTAGTGAAAGTAAAATTTTTAGGCAGAAGTCGATGGAAATGAAGTGGAATTAAGCTATAATTTATATTAATTAAGGTTTGATATGCAGGAAAGATCTTGGACCAATAGTGGAGTAATTTTTGTGACATTCAGGTTCCCAGTTTACCATTCAGTCTTTTGCTTAGTGGACATTTGGTGTAGACAAACACAGGAGGATGCAAAACGATCCTACAGTTGACCTGAAGCTGTCCGATCACCAGGTGTTTAGATTCGAAATACATTTAAAATTTTAGTGACTAGAACAAACGAACAACTTTAAAGGCTATCCTGGAAACTGCCGAAATAACCAATCAGATCGCATCATTTTGTCTGGGAAGAAAATTTTCATAGAATAAAGAAACATGATTGGTTTTTTCACCAGTTGCTAGGGTGGCCTTTAAAGTCATTCGAAAAACATCAGTGACGTTGTTTAAGATAATTAGTTGATCTATAATTTGGCTTGTTAAAATGTCAGTAAACAGTTGGGAAATGAAACGAAAACACATTCAGTGAACGATTACTCTTCTCAGAGGTGCCATCCTGATGATGTGTTATAGCATACAAATACTAAACTTATTTATTAATCGATAAGGGATAAGCCATCAAATATCCTTAACCAAATTCAATCCCGATGGTAATACTTCTCTTACTCTGTTGTTGATTGGACCGAATTGATCGGTACCTATTGCTATGTGGGTTCCTGCCCGGATACCTTGATATTGTCTGTGCATCATTCATATATTGGTGCTGGATAGTAGCTAGCAGCGCGTTGCAACTTGACGCGCGTTTCGTCCTGTTTTGTACTCGTCAGCTGGATGTACTCACCTCCCAGTGAGAGATGGTATTACTACTGCGACTCCGTCATTAACATCAAAGTCGAAACGACAGGCGATGCCCAGCCAACAGAAACCGATCAGTATGGCCCAATCAACGACTAAATAACACAAGCAGTATTACTGAAACTATACACGTTACACATGAGGTGGGTGTCGTGGCTTAGTGACTTAGTGGGTAACGTTCTGGCGTCTGAAGTGATCGGCCTCAGGCACACGTTTTAGTCGAAGGCAAGTACATCTATCTGATGAATCCCAAATAGGATTAAACGAACACCCTAGATTCCACTGCTAGCCGCTACCCATCATTAACGTTCAGTTTTCAGTTTCGATTGAAGATCACTTGACTGGACGAAGAACTACGTGATGCGGAAAGTAGTAATCAAATAAAGACTTATCAAGACGGAAGATATATCAGGTGCCGAGGTAGAATAAATTGATCAAAAGAGGTTAAAAGAATGAATAATTCAGACATGAAGGTTAGAAGTTGGTCGTGAATGAGAAGATATACTTTACAGATCCAGGAGTGAACCAAAAAGATTTTTAGGTTTTGAAATGGTCGAGAATATTTGTAGTCCAGGTGGATGATCCTGGTTGCATTGTGTGTATTCTCTGAGCTGCGTTGTTTAGTCGTATAGTTTTCAACGTCTTGCTAGACAACATCACCAGCACTGACTTCAGTATGTAGTGACCTGTCAATATCTCGCCCTGACGACAAAGTGGACGCCCTCTTCGCCTTCGTCTACATGAACACCAATTGGCTATTAAACGCCACGACATTTAGTCACTGATTTCAATGCACGTGGGTAACAAGTATGGATATGAATTCAATTTCGACAATGTAGAAATGTTGAACGGAGAGCAGAAACACGGAGGATATCAGAGAATTTCGAGAATCTTGGCATTCAGTTCAGTCAGTCAGCAATCAACAGATGTATAGACATAGACCCAGTCTATCAACCAACCAGACATATGATAAACGACAGAAAAGTCAGAGGTCAAGCAGAAAAGCAACCAATAGGAAAATCTATACAGTCAGTCAATGGCACAATAATCGAAGGAAGCAACTAATCACGGACCATATCGTCAGGGCGAGATATTGACAGGTCACTACATACTGAAGTCAGTGCTGGTGATGTTGTCTAGCAAGACGTTGAAAACTATACGACTAAACAACGCAGCTCAGAGAATACACACAATGCAACCAAGATTTTTAGTTTTCATTGTCATGGCATATTCAACCATAACATGAAGTTAAGGACTCAAAACATGGATTGACATCGATCGATCTAGATGCTTGAAGAGGCTTTAGATGTACATCTACACATTGTTTTCACTAAGTCTTTGGACTTCAATGAAGCTGTAGTCTGAATTCTCCTAGTCGTGAGAATCATTCAAATGTTCTCTCTTCTTTATGAAACCATTCTGATATCTACTTGAAGGCAACCTGAAAAAGAAGACACTGTGTCGAAGCAAATGTATTTTTCCTAACCATTTGAAATTTATCACTACACCTAACCATATTGCATGAATCAGCTTACAAACTTAATCTTGCTTCAATCTCTGTTAGACTTTATCTGATTCAGATTTCTCAGACTATGTAATTCTCCTTCACATTTTCTAGTTGGTAGTTAAAGTGAATATTGTGAAAAATTATTTTATGAAAACATTCCTTGATTATTAACTTGTAAAGACCCTATGATAGATCAAAGTGATGGTCAACAGGTCTCACACTGAACACATTACCACTCAACCATTAATGTCAAGGGTGCTCACTATCCAGGTATTCAAGGCTCGGACAAAATAGCCTTTCTATTTCTTCTTGGTTATGAATGTTTCTCAAGCTGATGTCAGTTTAGGAAGAAGACGACTTTCATTCGTTTTCTGTTTCCGAGTGAACAAAATAACTATATACTATTTTACATCTGCAAGTATGAATGCCTGTCAGTTGCTACATATTGATTACAACCGTGTAAACGTAGGTTTATTTTTATTCCAGTATACAAAGTGATTTCAACCTTTTGCCTTCCTGTCCAACATCGACTAATAGTTTACTTTTGATGACGTATCCTCTCTTTCCTGTTCGCACATAGATGACTCAATAACTCTGATGTTCACCTTATTTTCTATCACTTCTCTACTTTGAGAAATTTTTAATCTTATTACTAATTAAAATTACTAATAATTTTCTTGTTAACCATTGCCTTAGAACGGAAAAATGTACAAAATGCTCCTTAGATTTTGATTAATCCCCTTCAAGGTCACCCAGAAGGTCGATGAAGGATAAAGCATGTATACACAGCCAATAAATTTGGAATCATGATGACTGCATTCATCATACAACAGTCTTTTAATAGTTTTGTTGTTTTTCCTAATGGTTAACTAGTTTTCTTTTCATTCATCTGAATTCAATTAACAGTAATCCTTTACTTTATTCAAAAAATGTATACTGTTTGTTATCCTAAAAAAGAAATCAGAAATTCTGTTTTCTTTTCAAACGTCATTTGACTTTATTTCATAAATCCTTCTAATATAAAGTTCAAAAAACTTATTTTATTATGAAGAATTAGTAAAACTTTAGATGTGAAGGTGTAAACTACTTGTTAGTGTGACCTTGTACTACTTAAATATACCATAGTGAAGAATCGATTTGTGGCAAACATGTTTTGATTTGCTGAATGTTGTTTTAGCATATACTGATTGTTGGTTCAGTACCGAACTGAATGCAGAAATCAATAGTATTCTCCGAAAATGACCTTGAACACACAGATCATTATAAAGAGTTATACTTACTACATTGATTGATTACTTGAGAACACCAAGTCTCATGTTATCTGATCCTGAATACTCACCGAATGCTACTGATAATTTTACAATCTGGCCACCAAGCTAAGAGGCTGAGCATCGTGATGCACTTTCACTAATGCTAGTATTCAGCTTGGTATTCATCATGGACTGTGACACCAATTAGAGAAACATTGAAAGCCTAGGAGTATTGAACAGCGGTTTCGTACTGGCAACGTGCATTCACAACCCCACCAGGGATCGAAATCATGAGCTTCAAGTCCAACGGCCAGCACGTGACCGTATTATGCGGCGACGGGACTATAAAACTCAAGTGTAAAAAGTGCTGTGTGATTCCATTGAGCGATAATAATATATGCTTGACACGTCATGAAGTGAATAACATAATATTGATGCATGTTATAAACCAAATAAACAAGTGTAATATGGAATCAGTGATGAATATGCCAAACCATCACCACCAACAACAGCAAGCACGAATCACCATTAACGGGAGAAACCTAAAGGAAGTAGATCCTTTCACGTACCTGCCTAGGCAACATCCGCTCAACTACAGGTAGCAACACAGATGAGGATGTCAAAACCACGATCAGAAAAGCAAGACAAACTTTCATTATTTGAAATCACTATGGAGATCTACTGCACTGCACTCAGCATTAGGCGTGAACAGTA